ACAGGGTAACTACAGTTACCAAACTGGTGACATAAAACATTACATCTTGTATGCAGTTAAGAGTTTGTTTACTCATCCAGAAAGCAGGAGAGCACAATCCAATTCCCTCTGCCTAAATATGTATGAATCCGCCCTCTGCCATCTCCCAAAACAACTTAACTACCAGGCTGTAAGATGTCCCGGGATGGTGCTGAGTCTTTTATTGACACACACTTTGCATAAGCACATTTTCATTGAGAGACAGGCTGGATTCAGATAGATTCGGGCTAGATACAGTCTATCAGTAGGGCAAGCGCTCTCAACATCTCACACATTCATTCTTTGATCCCCTTTTCTAAATTGTTTCATATAGCAGAGATTTCTTCTGCTAAAGCTTTTCAAGACCTCATTCACGAATTTAATCTTAAATTAGCAGTTAAAGCACTCAAACGGTTGTTACATGGCATCAGTTTAAAGCTCCTAGGTGAACACCTCAAGAGCTACTGGGTAAATGGGATTATCACCCCTGTTCCTTTGTAGTATAGTAATTGAAACAACTGATTTCCAGTGCGTTTTAAGCAAAGTGTCAAGCTTTGGAGAAAAAAAAATTTGAAAAAAACCAAACCAAAATCTTCATTTCTGAGAATAAAAACTGAAGTTCTGCTTGTCCTCAAGAAAAGCCCTCCCCAGTCTCAATTATAACTGCGGTGTCTGCAGTCATTCCTCCTGCGCCTTTTATCTTCCATTAACACACCAAGCCAGAATGAAGCCTGAGACAAAACCCACAAAGAGGGAACAAATACCATGTCCCACTGTGAACGCTTACCGTTCTACCAACATGTATACTGCACTCCAGTTGGAAAGCTCTGGCACGTTAACACATATGCTTTATAAACTGAGGTCACTGTGCACCAAATGCTACGGTATCTTTTACTGAGGAAAAAAGTAAGACAAATACATTATCTCACAACTAATCAGAAAAGACTTGTTTTGTTCACGAGTTTGTTTATTAAAAAGGTAGTATAAAACACAACCCCTTTAAGAAACAAAATTGAAGACAAATCAAGAGATTCTCAGATGCTGTCACAGGTCTAGATATTATTTAAATATGATTTTTTAAAAATGTTGGTTTTCTAAAGGATAAATGAAAATGATCAATTTATTGAAAGAAAATAACCTGTCAGAAAAATTCCAAGTTAACTTACTGAAAAGTTTACTCTAACAATATACTTTCGTATTACAGAATGAGCAAAAATCAATTTGCTGCAAAAGATTTCATAATTCTATATTTTACAGAACTTTCAGAGCATCCTGACAGTAAGACTTCAAGTCTTGTATAATGACCACTGAAATACACACAAGTCAAATCAACACAAGTACAGTACACAACTTACATAATTCATTTATCATACTGCAGTATGTTTCCTCAAATTCAGAAATGAGATTTTTAAATCCAATTAAAATCTATAGATATGTATTTTTAATATATATATATTTAAGAATTTGGTTAGGTTATACAGTTCAAGAATTCAGGGTATGGATATCGACCTTACTGGAAAATTTAAAGGCAAGTTTGGGTTTCTATGAAGCATCCAATACCTTTAAGTTTTCTTAAGTGAATTAAGCTAAGTATTTGTAATTGTAAATAGATTAATCTTAACTTAATAATGTCTAGGACATGTTTTAGCTAAAATGCACTGCATTTAATGTACTAACAATCTTAAGTGAATTGCAATCCTCATACAAAACGTAAGTTGTATGAGGGACTGAAATTCAATTTTAAAAAGTAATTTAAAAAAGCAGGAGAAACAGATAAACATTTTGATGCAAAATGAAACTAATTCTCTCTTTACAGCTGTATATGAACATTCGAGAACCTGCTACAACTTAGGTGCCTTTTCTTTTGGGGTCTTTTGTTTCCAGATGTCTACTTTGGCCTTGCTGCTTAAACTGTGTAATCTCTGATGAATACTTGTAACTCCGTACAATTACCTTGCCAGCAAACCACTAAACAGCATTTGGTTGTAAAGCAAACTACCAATATATCTTGAAGATAAGCAACTGATTTTGTATTGTATGGTTAAGAAAGTGATTATCTATGTCAAATTACACTGAAGTACCAGTTAATACCCTTTCCCTGCTGTTATATTTAAGTGGTTTCACATCCATTTTGTTACACTGTATGAATTAGTAGAAACAGCTATTTGTCTAGTTCAGAATTTAGCAACAATGATTATCCACAAATTGTTTCAACCTGCTGCTAGTTATTGTTTTCATAATACACACAGGGAAGGAGACAGCTTTTCTTAAAATGAACCTCTCACCAAAAGCCTAGGGATGAAGGAACATGCAGTATACTGGAACACTGGAATGGAACCTAAGAAAAATTAGAAAGTGAGCAAAAAGTTTGATTTTGTCACTTCTAATGAGCAAGACAGGTCATTAGAAGGCACTTTTAATTAAAGAACAAATACGGTGAAAATCGCATTAGGGATCTAACTTCTTATCAATTTATTTATGATGCTGCTCAGTTGGAAAACATGTAAGTTTAAAAGGCAACTCAAGCTTGTCCAGCTTCAGATTTGTTAAAATTTGGTATTAAACATTACTGCTCTATACTACAAGATTTTCATAAGCATACTTCAAAATAGTAATTTTCTTTTGTGAAAATTTTTTACTTATGTTCAGATTAATTTATAAAAATTTGCATTATTTAAAAAAGGAAAACATCAAAAGAATTCGGTCTCAATGAAAATCTGCTGAAAAGAAAGTCACAGCTGCATTAACCTCTCCATCAACTATGAAATGCCTCAGTAACTCAATGAATAGTTTATAAAAATATATTTTTACATTTTACTGGGGAATAACAGAGGTAGACAAAAGGAAAATACCAGTTTGAGTGTAATGCTGCACTTCAGAACAACATATTTGCATGGAAAACCAGCTTTTATTTTCTTAAGAATCCTAGTTAATAGGAAAGCCAGTAAAGCATTTGGTCTCAGTCTTTGTCGGTGCTCTACTTCAGTGTGAAGTCTAGAGGAAAATGTGAGAAGACTAACATCACCTTTGACTTTGAAGCAAGCCAATCAAATTTGTACATCAATCGGAGAGAGGAAGGTTACTGCACATATAATGATTCTTTATTTTTCAAAGTCTTTTTTCAAACACTAACACTAACCTTATTTTTTTACATCTCATACCATGATAAGGCTTCATAGAACTGTACAGTTTTTATACATTTGTCAGTAAGTTTCCCTATATCAGTTGCAATTCCACTGTAAAACAGGTGACTTTATACTGAATAGAGTGCTATATGACTAGGCTCTCTTAAAAAAAAGAAAACAAAACAAAAAGCTAACAAAACACAATAGTCCAACAAATCTAAAGCCTGGAGTCTAGAAGCTGGAAGAGAAAAAAGGAGCACTGAAAGCAATATCCACCATACTAAAATACACTCTTCATACGCTAAAACTTCCAGCCTCAAAGGTCTGTGGTGCTTGTTACCAATAAAAATACCTAAGGCAGAACCAACACAACCCAGAGATGTAATCTGAATATGCCACTATGTGCAGCAACAAACCAGGCAGTATTTCAGATTCCCTGAATTGTTCAAACACCTGTTTTGCTGAAACATACAATTCAACACTTCTGAAGATGAGAAAATGGTCTTTCTTAGCTGGCAAGAGTTACAGCTCTTTACAATGCAACTCAAAACTGGAAATTTGTCATGCCAGCTTATGAGTCCCCAGACTTCTAAACCGTGAATTCAAATATCATCTCTATTGTAAGACCAGATATTTTGTCACAAAAAGGTATAATTTATAACCACAGTGGTAAGCATTACTTAGATGCTCAGGTTGGCATAGCTACCCATACATATTGATTACATATTTAAAAAAAACCCCAAACCTCCAAAAAGACCCAGAACTTAGAGTACCATATAGACTTCTGGAAAAAATATAGATGGTCATTTCAGAGCACAAAGTTTGAAAATACCAATGTTCATTGTATTCTGAATACTTCAGGATGGAAATATAAGAATTAACATCTATGGTTTCTCGCAATCCAATATGAATTAAAAAAATTCAAAAGATCCTCCTTACAAATGTGCACTAGTAACCATCCATATGAACAGCGTGCTATGAATTTAGCACCAATATTTTAATTGTTTAGTGCTTAAACCCACATTCTTCTATCTTTAGGTATCAAAATAATGGGATTCTAAATTAAGAATGACTATGCCCAAAAGGGCTCCTCCAAAGCTATTTCTGAAAGCCTGCCACTTATTAAGATATCCAAAGTTAGAATGTCTTCTAAATCCTTCCTTTTGGAAATATTTCTAAGAGGGCGAGCATTTGCTTTTTCCATGTAAAAAGAGTATTATTTGAAAGCATATTTTCAAGTATTCTAACTTTTGCACAACAAACTGTAGTTCAAGTTGCCAAAAGCCTTTAAATTTTATGAAATAATGGCAGATCCTCCCCACTCTGAAGAGCATGTATGACTAAACTAAAACACTGAAGAGAACTCACACTCACCATTCTAACAAAGTTAAATGAAAACCTTTACTCTAGTATTAAAGCAAAAACTAAACAAAGCCAACACATCAATCAAAAGCCTATTTTGCATACCTACTGTATACAGACCATGAGAGCTTAAGATCAGTATTATTTCATTATGGCCTAGAATGTGTGTGCTCATGCATTTCTAGTCTCCTTGACATAATTCCAGCCTCAACAGAACATATAAGCAACAAGAGAAGATCTAAACAGGGGAAGAAAAAAATAATTTACTGAATGCTGTGATTGAATAATCTATCTACACTCAGTTTAAATTATGTTGGCTATGGCAACATTGTTTGTTTTCCACTTCCTTTAAGTTTGTGACTTGGTACTACTGTTATCATTTGCTACTTAATGCATAGCAACAACCCAATGCATTCCCCCTGTATGCATCACAGCATCTGTTCCATAAAATGATCCGAAGTACTCAGGACAAAAATAATTTTTAAGGATTAGATACTGAGTTCCAAGGGGTACAGGAAAATTAACAGTAAAATCCACAAATCTTGTAATAGCTTTGCATTATTTAAGTTACATATAGTTACATAAACTGAAGGGTTCGAACATATTTCACACATACATAATGAAACACTGACAAGCATAGTTAAAACAAAAAAAGTCTGATGAATTTTACTGCATTCTTGGCAACTTGAGTTACTTTACCTGAACAGCCAATTAATACAAACTTTTAGAACCTCATTAAATACTACTTTTAATGAAAACTTCAAAGCACACAGTTGATGACATTCTAATATGTATATATTCATATGAATATTGTCTGCAGTCACCCTGAAGAAAGGGATAAACTCAAGCATCACCCTAAAAACTATGCTTTCATAAAGCATTAAAGATGTTATGTATCTGCTTCAACATCACTGCCTGCAAGGCTGCTGTCTGTAGATGGAGCACCATCTTCATTAATGCCCTCACCATTATTCTCCCTCTTATGGCCTTCATCATATACATCCTCCTTAGATGTGTCATTAACTTTCGAAGGTTGTTTGCCTTCAGGCATTTTAACACTACTTGTCGCGGAATCTGAATCAGATGTAGTTTGCTGCTCCTTTGCATCAGGATCCTCTAAAAACGATCCCCACACCTTGAGCCTTTCTTCTCTTTCTCTTGCAGTCTCCTCCACCTATTAAAGATAGGTTTATACACATCATTACAAAGTCATACTTGTAAAAATGAGTATTCACACAGATAAAATTACACAAACATTTTTATTGCAGTAGTATCTCTAGATTTTATTAGGCCCTGTTGACTCTGAACTAATGATCTGTACATCCAGTGGCTAATCCTCTAAGTTGACATCTCCAACACATAATTTTTTACATCAAACAGGTCCTTCACATTTTTACTAAACTGAATAATTAAGGATGATTTTTTAGAGACATCCTAGCAGTCTTTGAGGAGAAGCAAGACAGGGCAGGGCTGGGCAGGGGAAGGGTATGGGGATGGGAACATGAAGAACTTCTCAAATTAAAACAGATTTACAGTTTGGAAGAAATATTTGATAAAATAGGACCATGCAAGGCTACCTGATAATCCGTTACACCATCCCATGTTTCAGCACTGAGCTGACGGCCGCCAAACCACCTGCCATTTAGAGTTAGCTTGCACAGATCAGCTTCTGTTGCTTCTTTAAATGACACAGAAGCCACGCCATCAGGGTGTCGCTGCAAGAAGAGACAACTTTCATTAAATAGTTTTCTAAATAGTTATTTATTCCAACATCTTTTAGATTGTGTTACAAATTCAACCAGGATATAGCTCCATCCTGATCATACATGATCATGTTTGAAAAATTCAATTTCCAAGTTTACACCTTTTGTTCTACTGGTACACAGAACAGACTTTTTGAACACAGAAAACAAACAAATGTTTCAGCTAGTTTAGCTACAAACAAATGTATTTATAAACTTTCAAACTTGTGACATGTACATAAGTTAGCGGGAAGAGTTAGTTTGCCTTCACATAAGCTGAAGTAGATACGTGTTTAGGAGTTAATTTCCAAAACAGTTCATCTTAAAATACTGAAAGATTATGTCAATCTTCCATGAAATAAACTCACAAAACCAAATAAATGCTCCACTCGTATTTAAAGAATCCTAAACACTTTGCACATTTACACATTACATCAATTCTGCCAACACAACATATAAAAAATACCTACATCAAATATGAGAACCTTCTTTACTTGACCAAACTTTTCACATTCTGTCCGCAGATCTTCTCTGATCTCATTTAACACTAAGGGATCCTCCTGCAATCCAATCACACAGGTTAAATTAAACAGAAGCACGTACTTCTCTCAGCTTTATTTTTGCTCAATCACCAATGGAACACGTCTGCCAATCTATTAAAAGTTCATAAATTAAGTGTTGTTATGCTGCATTTTCAAAGCCACTTGGAAGTTGGCAGAGCCCTTATTTGAATTTAATAAATGCTACTTATTAATAAGGCTATTTTGTGCTGGTTTCTCCATTCTAACATAGTTACCATTTACTCCTCTTTCGATTCCAAAAAGGAATATTGTCAGGATATACACAATGAAAAAGGTCGATTTGAAAAATACATTCTTATCAACATCTTTTTCTTACTTTCTGGAATAGTTTAATGAATTTTAAGCAGATGCTTGGCACAGGAAAAAAACCCTGCCCAAACAGTAAGTTTAATTTTGTTCTCATCTCCTTAGAATTTCACTAAAATTCTTATGCCAGAAAGATCAGACAACGTTAACAGCACAATCTACAGCAGCAAACTGCTGTACCTCTTCCTACCTCAAAGTCCTTTGGGTGAAACATATTCCTGATAATAACGATGCGCTCATGTCGCATTCGAGTTGCGCCATCTTTCTTCTCAGGCCTCCAATCCAGCTGTCTAATGAAATGAAGCAACAGTAAGAAGATATTGTTGCGGCTCTCTTCAGTTTCTACAAGTATTTGTTGAAAAAAAATCATTAATTTGGCATTTCTTGCAATACATCAACTAAAACATGTATTTTGACACAAAGAGTTAAATTATTCTTCTAAAAAAATGCAATAATCACTCACTTTTTTGACAAAGCAGTTGAGGATTTAAGGTACTTAAATGCTCATAGAGGGAATATAAATTATTTTCAAAATCAAAGCATTTTCTTGAACACTGAAAAAATAATCTTTAAGTTTTAAATCCTTCCTAATATCAGCCCAGACACAGGAATCAGCTGCTACCAAGTATAATGTCAACATTTTACCATTTTTTCCTAACTTATTTTGTAAGAAAGGCAATTCACTATTCCCTATGACAAAATTTTACTGCTCTTATTCAAACAAACACACAAGAACACCTTGGGTCTTACGCAGGTATTGCTGCAGGATATATTTTGTTCCACAGTGTACAGAGCCACTGCCACAAACTAGCAATGTAACTCGGGGCATCTGTTCTGTGACTTTGCCTTCTCATGAAAAACATTACTTCTCGTAGAAATGCCTACTTCATATCCCATTACAAAAAAGGGACACATTCACCTACACTTTCAAATCTTGAAATCTTGTATTTGAGGCAGGAGGAATCTTGTTTAAGTTCCTTCTCGTACCTGATACTTCAGCTGAAGAAAACTTGGATTTCCAATGAAGGTAGTTTTGCAAGTAAACTATGCTCTTCAACCCAAAAGGAACATCAACTGAAGTCAGTTTATTCACACAAATCACGGCCAAATGCAATTTCATTATTTTCATACTTCTCTCTCCACACTGGAGACTTCTTACAGCAAGAGCTGGCAATGTATCTTTGAGGAAGATAAGTTTCAAGCTACTTTTATTTTTAATTGGTAAGATATCAAGTAGCCTTTGGTCCCTTTAACTATGGCAAAGTACTTCTGCATTACTAAATAAAATGTTTAGCTGAATGCTGCTTTCATTAAAATATTAAGAGTCTTATGTACTCAAACTTCTTTCTTCTTTAATCTGCATCTTCTTGGTTCCAAAAGGCAGAAAACCAATTTTAAAGTGACAAAAAGCAATGAATCTAAGTACAATTAAAAAAAAAAAAGTACATTTTATACCAGAGAGAGATGTCTGGGGGAATCTCCAGAGACATTTTAATATTTGGTCCTATGGAAGGTAGCACCTCTTGTCCTTTGAAATTAGTAAAGCATGGTACAAACAATATGTGGACAGCCAGAGTGTTATTATCTTATAAAAGCAAGCCCAGATACCGTGACAGGATTTGCACACTCTCACACACTAAGAAAAGAAGTCTTTTATCCTCCCAGAGTTGTAATATTTTCTTCTGTATCTGAAAGGACCCTGGTTCCCTATGTATTATTTTACTGTGTCAATCACGAAGAAGTTCATTATGTCAACATTTAATTTAGGAGTTCCTCCCCTTCAAATGTGTATTATTTAAGCTATTTTGCTGTCAGATAAGACTTCCAATGTTTGCATAACTCTTAGCATTGCGTTTGAAAGAAAGTTGCGCTTTACGAATAGCACTTAGAATTCAAGCAGTATTTTACTGAAATAAAAAATACAAACTTCTGCTGTTGAGACAACTTCTTCTTGTAGTCTTTACATTTCTTCTTCTTTTTGCTTGCATCATACTCCCCCTTCAGTTGAAACTTTGCAACTTCAACATGTAATTTATAGCCTCTAATTTCTGCCTCATCCAGAAGTCTCAGGGCAAGTTGAACTGATTCTCTCTATTTGAAGACACAACAGAGCACAAGCTTTAAAGCACATGGCAGTCAAATTATTGCAATAACACTTAATTAAGAATATTGTACTAAGAATAAATTCCCTGTCACCGAAAACCGTAATGCCGTATCTCTACCAAGTCTCTTGATGCACAGCTGGCAATGCTTGCTTTATCAAAATTAGGTCTTTCTTCACCACTGTTATAGCAGATTAATGCTCCCAAAAGCAACTGCACACATTTCATTCAAATATGTCATAGAAACTGATCTGCAACGGTCAACCAAGCTGATAAAATTAAAATTGAGAACAAAAAAACTTCAGGGGGCTGATTTTCTATAAAGCTTGCATCACTTTTCCAAGAACAGCAGATGTTGAGGCTCTTAAGTAATTTTTCACTTTTTCCTAAAAGTCTGCAGTGGAGACTGTCTCTATACTTGTGCACTAAACAGCCCTAACTACTAAAATTACAAAACTAGCACAGACTACAAGGCAGATGATGTAGTACTGCCTGGTGTTCCTTGCAGAATCAAAGCACATGGCACTTGCAAGCACTAACTTTCCAAATGATTCAGAAGTGAAACACATGAAGGAAACACTACTGCAGTCTAAACTTTTATAGGTTAATATAGAATGCAAGAACAGTTCTGAACTTAACCAGTTCTCAACCAAAAGCTGTAAATACAGGACTACAGTATGTTCCTTCCTGTCTCTTATTTTTGTATGCTTGGTCACACAGTGGCATATTTTCAAAGTAAAAGGTGAAGAGGTCCCCCATTTCACCCCAGAATCACTGGCATTCAAGATAGGAACACATACAGACATGTTCAGCAGGTATTAGGGACATTTTCATGGGGAGGAAACGAATGAGGTGCACAACCAGATAAGTAGATGTTTCTGGAATAAATCTTTAAAACAGACACACAAATTTTAAGTTATACTTTAGAAATTTCAAGAAGCTTCTGAATATGATTCTGAAACAGTGGCCACAAGTTCTTTAACAGGAAGAAAAACTGCATTTCAGTGCACCACTGACCTTTAGATAGCAACAGAGGCCATCTCCTTTAAGATTTCCTTCCTTATCTTTGTACAGTTTGATTTTGTGTTCTTCTGTCTGAGGATCTCGCATAATGATACCACATTTTGACATGACTTGTATAAATTCATCTTTTGTAATGTCTGGAGGTAAACCTGCAAAATAAATTAAAACAGAAGCCTTGAGTACATTCATTTTTCTTTAAAATCTCATTACAACAAAAATCCCACAGTGTTTCTTTAAACAAAAGATGTCAAACTTAAGGACAAAATTTTACATACACCATAAGAAACCACTGCCCTTGGGACCATTATTTTTAGTATTACCTTTAAACATTACTTCATACCAGTAGTTCAAAAATCCTTTCACTTTTTAATAGGTGCAACATACAACAACATCATTGTGCTCCCTAATATGCAGACCTAGAGCTTTAGTGCTATACCTGATACTGACGCTGCAGTGGACACGATGGCCTATGCGAATGTAACTATCCTGCCCAAGTTTTAAGTTCCACTGCACCTCTAGGGATCGAAGATAAAAAAAGAGTCCCAGCCTATAAACAGATAAGTATTTTCTCCACCCACAAATCTGACAGAAAAAGCAACTGATAATGTATGGAGTTTTTGAAGTCTGAACTTTGAATTGCGGTCAAGAAAACAAAAAATAACAAAATGGAGGAGAAAATTATACGAATGTTCTATGCTAGTTCAGCCTAGATGAAGATTTTTAAGAATTCAAGCCTGTGCATTTCTGTGACTGCTCAGAACCACCAAATGTGCTTTTGTGGATGCACCCAAAGATAACACCCCAACATCCAGAACAGGTAGAGAAATATTATAATAAATGCACACACAGTTTCATTTGAGGTTCCCCATTACTTGCTCATTCTATTCCTAGCTCTTTTTTTTTGTGCTTACTGTTTCCTCCTCATCTAATAATTTAATTACATATTTATTACATTAAATAAAAGACTAAAATATTAGGTGATGTGTGTACTCAATGCACTATCTTGCTATAAAGTTGTTAGCCTATTCTATAGCAGCTCACAGAAATTATTTTTCTTGGCTGTAGCTTACTTAAAAACAATTAGAAACTTGGCTGACACAGCTCAAAGAATATCACCGTTAAAAGATAAAAGCATGGAACGTGTCCCTTGCATTACTTTCCCACATCTGCAATTTAAAGGTCACAAAGACATTATGCGGTCAGGAACATAACGTTAAGTAGCTTGCAAGTGGCAGACTGAATAGGTAATATTAGAAGTCAGTGAGATACATACAAGTCTCCTCTACCATCTTTAGCTCAAAGCAGATAAAAAAATGCTGTTACTTACCAGTCACATAAACATTTGTGTTTCTGTCTTCTTCAACATGAAACCATCCTAAAAACAAGAGTTTTAATTCAGTTATGCCAATATATTAAACATGGGAGCATACACTAATGTTCACATTCCATAAGACTTCTAAGAATTTCTGCTTGCTGACTGGAAAAGCTCTTAACATGCCTTAATTTGCCTTTTTTCCCATCTTGTATACGGACTTAGGAGGATACCTACGAAGTACATACAATTTCAAAACCATTCTGGAAATTTTCAGAACCACCCATATCCTTGCTGTACATGATAACACTGAACAATTGCCAGTCTCCACTCAGTACTATACTGGGTGCAGCCTACACAGAGGGAAACCCTTTGTCACTTACCTGGCTCAAGCTTCCGTTTTTCCGCTTTTTGTTTTGGATCCGTTTGTTGTGGTCTTTTCTCATTTGCGGACGGTTGTGTTCCTGATGTCTTAGAACTTACTGGTTGCTTACTTTCAGTTGCTGTGCCAGAGGTAGAGGAACTGTCCTTATCATCTGCATGAAAGCCATAGTTGGCATGATATGTTGCCAGGAAATCTTCTGTTATCTGAAAAGAAATTAGGAAAATTAATGCAAAATTCCAAAGAACTACAAATTCAGGTTTGTAAGTGTTCTAATGTTAGCTAGATGATGGTCATTTTCTAATCCAGCAACAAAGCAAATGACTATTTTAAAACTGTTTTAAAATCATCTTTGTAAAGCCATACACACAATAAGAACAGTCAGTTCAGGCGTTACCTGAACTAGACTAACATACTAATTCCATACACCACATGAAGTTTTTAAACAAACATTTCATGAGTTCTGCCTTTTTTCAAGCAAAGCCTTCTGCTTTCCACTTAAATTGGATTTGCCTGAAGGACAGAAACCAAGTGCTCCTGACCACGTTGAAGAGAAAGTGACACTGATGGTAAGCCACAATTTATCTACAGATGATGAATGACTGACACTTGTAGGCACTTGCCTTTTCATAAAAACATGTTCAAAAATGACATATATTTGTGTTGACAGACAATAAATGCAGTTAAATGGAGATATACCTTAACACACTGTTTATAAGGCCATACATTCTACTTTATATCCTACTAATAGATAAATAATTAGCTTGCTTTTTTCTAAAGAGAGACTACATTTGGATAAAATATAATACTGGTTATTTATAAACCAAAACAAAAACCCCCTGCAAATTACACCCAGTATCTCCAGCCAGGTAAATTTTAATCCCAGCCACTAGTAATAACATGCAAAGAGATAATACATCATCACTGCTTTTGCTAGCATCACTGCACCATTAAGTATTTTCTAAAGTTACCCACTCCAAAATGATTTATTCCAAAAGCTGAGCCTTCATCTTTGAAAATTTTATCTGACTTTGACCTGTGCTGCACTTGCTTCATCTGTATGCAAAAGGGAACAAAACCTAATGTCATTAAGCTATTGTTAGAAAGCGACACAACAGACAGTAGTAAGTGTCAATGATGATAAATCAATCTCCTATCTTCCATCATGGTCGTGACTTGAAGCTTGACGTTTCAACTCCAAGCATTTATTATGACAAATCAAAAATGCAGAATTGACAGTAACAGGCCTGTCACAAATAACACAAGATGCTGTGGAGGCCCATATAACTTAAAAGTTTAGCATGAAATAGCTCCTACACTAAACAAGATTTGCAACACATCTTGATCAGGAATGTAAGCGGCTGCTCTTACAGACATGACATAACACAATGTCAGGTGAAAGGAAGACTACAACCACCTTCAGTGAAGAAGACTGTTCTAATCAGATGCATTATATTTGACACTAGCCATCTTAGCAGATCCTTATTTTCACAGTTGATGAAATCCAGAGAATTAAGAAGCTTTTACATTTTCTGGTGAACAATACTATTCATTTTCATCAGAGACCCTACTGATAAATTAGTGATTAAATCTGCGACAACTAGCCACCGTCCTGCAGGAGTATTATTTTTCAACTTCAGGGGGAACTGCATTCTCATGTAAAGTTAAATTTATTCTTAGCAAATTACCTACCCTGGACTGTCAAATTTTGCCAGTCAATAACAAAAGCTTCTTTTTCATAATATGCTATCATCCTACCATACATACCATTAGAACTACAATTCAAAACACGTTTTTGCAAGCATAAAGGAATTTATACAAGTATACAGGCTTTTATTGGAACTTATGCCATGCCTGCATGGAAAACAAGCACTCACAGAATTCCTTACTTGAGGCTTCAATCCAGCGGGGAACATCACAGAAAGAGATCAGTTCTATCTTCATACCCACACAGTTGTACAGTTTGGGGCAATTAAGCTTACAGGAAAAGAAATACAATACTACAGGGTATGCTAGCATGTAATTAACTACTGGTCACACTGAAATGGAAAGGAATAGATTAACCAAATGAAGAACAGATACCCTACACTTACAGAAGACATCCAACGTCTGTTTTTTTCATTGCAAGTGATGAAGGTAGGCAGATTAATTCAACACGTGATTTTGTGCTATGTCTGTGAAGGACTATAAAAAGTTGGTATCCATCAATACAGTACCATTGAAAGAAAAATCATTAAATAATACACAAAGTTGCAACCACTTTTATTAAATATTTGACTGTCTCCAAATTTTTCTGAGGAACGTTCACAGTTAATATCATTAACTTTCCACACTGCTTTAAAATATGCTACAGTAGAAGTCCAGCAAACACTCTGTCCCTAAAGTAGAGTAGCAGTGCAATACTAGCCTGTAGATGATGATTACTTAGACCAGTCAGAATATTTCATTCTTTTGTTAGAGAATAGAGATAAGCAATTTTATTACTGCTCATGGAGTAGAGAAAAAACTACAACTTCTGGCTCCTGCAGTCTCTTAAGTCTATTTTGATAAAACATTCTGTTGAAGCAGCAGCAAAATGAAGTAACCTGAGATATTATGGTATCTAGCTCAGTGATCTATCTATGACACATAGTGCTTCACAATGATTCTTTACCAACTTCTACTATACATCATATTTACTAACGGACTTTGCTGTTCCTATATAATCTGTCCAACATTTAATGTTGTATCTTCTCCAAGACAGAAATTTGAGATAAGAACGGCATTTAGGAAAAAACAATACTCCTGAGAAGAAGAGAGAAATTTAAAAAAAAGAGGTGAAAAAGAGGGGAAGGAACAGTGAGGACAAAAGAAGAACCCTTTTAAAAGTTACTGTGCTTACAGGATATAGAAGTCCACAGGGAGCCAGGAATACTCAGCTTTCCACTGCTCCACTTTGTGAGTCTGGATTTTTCACATGTTTTTACCCCTCCGTAAGCCATCTGCTACATAGACACCTTACTAGGTTTACACACATATAAACTTGGCACTACAGGCTTCATTCTCACTCAGATTCTCTGAATTGAAATGAATTCAGACTCACAAATAAGAGCTGGCACATTACATTTATCAACTACGTGCTATAAAATGCCTTAATACTTCTAAATTAAGTAACTGCCCTCATTCATTGTTATACGGTAACAAAACTACTATGTCACTTGCAGATCAGTAGATTGGCTCAACACATTAAATCTATGTTCCCTCTCACCTTGAAGAACCACATTGTTACAGCAAGTTCATTTTTTATACTTAAAATATTTAATTCAAAAAAAAACAAGACGAAAAACTGTAACATATTTCCATTCCGTAGAATGCCTCTAAGCCAAATACACTTAATTTTCAAGTGCATTTCCAAGATTTAAGAAGAAGGAACAAGACACTTTTACATATGCATGGTTTTCAGATAATAATAAAAGAGAGGAGAGACATGCTGCTCCATTTGCATCTAGACATTTTAATAGACTAGTTCACTTCTTCACTGCCAACAGAAAGACAAAGATCACCACAGCTAGTGTGATAAAGAAACCTAAATGTGTCAAAGGCAGTACCGACTCGTTAAGATCCACAAATAAAACTGTGACTTCATGCCAGGCTCAAGCAATTCTACACATTTAGAGCCAAGAAAAAAAGCCAACCTACAGCTCTTCACAACAAAAGAGCAGAAAGCAGCCGTTAAGGTTACAGATGGAGACAACGCCAGCTGCCGTGGTTTTTGCCTATAAAAAAAGAGCGTTTCAGTACTACACAGACTTTGCAGCAGACATCTATTTGGTTGAATCCTGACAAGTAAGACACCTCCGTGGTGAAGAGACCCAACATGAATTGTCCTTCATTCTCAGCCTTCCTCGGGGAAACCGGCAGGCTGCGGAGAAAGAGCTGCCCCACGGCGGTGTGCGGGAGGAGCCAGAGGC